GGAAAATACCCGAACAAAGCTGAATACCATACATGTAAGTACCCAGGAAAACTTAAGAATCTATCTATCATCTATCTATCTATCTATCTATCTATCTATCTATCTATCTATCTATCTATCTATCTATCTATCTATCTATCTTATTTTGGTGTATTTTCTATTCCTTTTCTGCACTTCTACGACCTTTCTTATTCTGAAAGAGAACAACATGGCAGGTATGCACAGGTGCTGAAAACTACAACACAGATATCTACATCTACTGCATGTTGTCAGTTTCCTTTTAGTCACTTTCAGAGCTTGTGCTGTCAAGTTCCCACTGGGAATGGATTCCGATACCCGTTCAGCCTCCCACTCCTGAAAGCAGGCCTGCCTTGAACTCTGCTGGTCACATGATGATCCACACCAGTGGGAAAGTTGGAAACATCATCAAAAAAAGCTCTGGATATCTTTGAGCCCCGTGTAGGCTTTTTTAAGGGGCTGAGAAACACACAACTGTTATTATTTTTCTTCAAGGAGACCCATCCTCCCAGCCTTCAAGAAAGACAGCCCAAACTGAAGAGCTGAACCCATACATATCCTGCCTGCTTGATCTGTCAGTACTATGGACAGCCTACGATCAGGAGAATGCCAAGCACTTCGGGCCCCATAGGACATGCCGTCCCTCTCCTTACAGGGGTCTCAAGTGCCCAAGGGCTCTGCCCACTGCTGTGTTGTCGTTTCCAAGAAAATGTTGGCAGGGACAAATATCTTATCATTTCATAGCAGCAACAATTTTCAAGGGTGAAGGTTAGCCTTTCAAGCTGAATGGGAAAATAAGCACTGAGCTCTTCAAACCAAGATTTATTTCTTCTTCTTGGGAAGAGCTGTGTGAAATAGCAAAGAACCCTCTGTTTTGGAACTTTCTTTTTCTGGAGATTCACCCAAGTTGAGGCCTGGCTGTTTTCAGGGAATAAAGTAAGCATTTTAATTATTTTTCTGAATGCTTGGGGAAGAATTTGACTGTGAATATGAATATATTTGTAATGTACATTTTCACTATTTTAAAGCAATGTAATATTAGTCATGGGATATGACTCCACATATTATGTTGTATATCTTTTTGACAAGTGACCAAATGTTCTCCTCAGTTACAATGTCTGTGCACTCCTTCATGAAGGAAAAGATACGTGTGGCTATTTTCAATCCTACCAGATAGCAGCAAGATTTAGACACAGTGGTCCTTTTCAGTTCCAGAAGAGAGGCCATTTGTAGTCAAATTATTAAAAGAACAAGAGCTAATAGTACTTTGGATTTATTTTGATGGTAGCTTGGCCCACACCAAAAAGGCTGGCTAGAAATAAAAACAAGTTCAAAATCCTGGACTATGGGATTGTTCATCATGCATTATTACTTCACAGGAACATCTTTATGTCTGAATATTATTCCAGGCCAAATGACATCCTTATGCCCTGTTCTAGGAACATGTCTTTATTTAATAAAAGTGCAAACTGCAATAGGTTTTTATAAAGGGCAGATACATTCTTATCCATACAGCACTATATTACGTGAAAGCTCGCTTTCAGCCAGTTGCTCGGCAATAATACAGCACTTACAAAATCTATGGAGTTTGGTTAGTGGATCTGCACTTTGCATCACTGTGTGTCAGCCAACGTTTTTGCATTAAAAGAGAGGAAACAAAGAGGAAGGAATCAGTGGTTCCTGGTGCTCTCTTAGCTTGGCTGTTTTCTTGCAGGCATTTCATTATCCAAACTAGGTAACCTCAGCGGTGCTAGTCAGTTGTATTACGCTGCATCCAGCGCTTCTGGAAAAGCAGCCACAAGTCTACATAAACTTTGCAACACGGCCTATGAATTCCAGACTTCACTCCCAGGGAACCGATTAGCAGATTAGCCTATTCAATACGCATCCCTGAGAGCAGGTCTTCCTGCTGAATAGGCAGACGGGGTTATTTTTGGTTAAACTGGCCAGACTTAAAGTGGGAAAGGGCATTTGTGGAGGAATTCACTGGGTTAGGATGCAGACTGCAGCCCCCTCTTTAAAGCCTTCTCGAGCGGTATTTTTCTCTACGGCCCCCTTCCCTTCTCTGTCCTGGTTCGTTGTGCCTTGGGCACCGCTCTCGCGGAAAAAGCGCGTCTCCAAAGCCGGGAGGCATCTGGGCCTCCAAAGAGAGCGAGCGAGCGAGCGAGGAGGGAGGCGGGGGCCAGCAGATGAAGCGAAGCCTCCCGCTTATTTGCAGCAGCCGCCCGCCGCCCGCCGCCCCCCGCCCCCCCCCCCCCGCCGCGGGAACCCCCCCCCCCCCCACCATCCAGGGCCCGAGCAAACGAGATTGGCCGGTGCCTCGACCCCGCCCCGGAGCAGCTGAGAAACACCTCCGGCCGGAAAAGAGGATCCAGCGCACCGGAGTTCCGGGGAGAAAGAGCAGGGGACGTTCCAGCGGCGGACACGCGCAGAGGGCGAAAAGGGGGCGAGCGGGGCCTGGAGCGGGCGGAAAAGGACTGCCGCCGCCGCGCCCCCTCTCCTCCGCTCCTTCCGGTCGCTCTCCGGGAGGCCATCCGGCCGAGGTCTCGCCTCTCGGTCTGGCCTCCTCGGAGCCGGGATGGCGGCGGCCGAGGAGCAGGGTAAGTGGCCCGTAAACGCCGCTTCCCTCCTCTGCGACCCCGGTCGATGGGACGGGGCGTCCCCGGCCTCTGCCCACTTGTTGGCCGAAGCCTCCCCTGCCTGCGGCTTGGACGGGGACGGGGCGCCTGCGGGCCGCTCGTGATTTGACGTTTCCCCCCGTGGCCTTTCTCTCCCTCCTTCCTCCGGGCTCGACTGCCTCTCCGCGCTTTGGCTTCGGGCCAGCCGGGAAGTCCCCGCCGAAGGGCGGCCGCCGCCCCCGGAATCCTCCCGGGCTATTTTGAGCAGAGGCGCTGCGCGGGTCCAGAAGGGCCGGGGGGCTCCTGGCCTTCCCAAGCCCTCCCTCGCCTGGCCTCCTCCGCAGGGCGCGATGACAGCCGCCGCCGCGGTTCCCGGGGAAGGGGGGGGGGCGCGCGAGGGCGAAGCGACTGGCTGAGGGCCGGGAACGAGAAGGGCGGCTGCGGGGGACCCAGAGCTGCTTCCCGGCCGGCTTGGAAACGCGAGGAGGAGGAGGCAGCCTTTGCTCCGGGGCCCAGTGGGCTCCCAGGGAACAAGGCCTCTCCCTGGCTTGAAAAGGGGCGATGGGAACAAGGAGCGCCTGGCAAAGGCCTCCTCCTCCTCCTGGGCGGAAAGCGTCCCCTTCTTCAGGAGCCTGGCTGCTCCAGAGGCTTTGTCTTTCTTTGGGAGAGAAACTTCCTTCCTGCCCAGCCGAACTCTGGGCGGCCTTCCCCATCCCTCCCTCCCTCTGTGGCCCTCTGCTGCTGGAGGAAACGAGCCCCCTCGGGCCCCGGTTCCTTTCTTTTGGCATCCCTTCCACTCCTGCCAGGCCGCCCAGCTCCTTGGCAGGCTGGGAATCCTTTGGGGCGGCAGTCCTTGGTTGGCACCCCTTAGGTGCCACAGGAGCAGGGCTGTTTCCTGTGGTGCGCCAGCAGCTGCCTGTCTAGAGAAGGTGATTTCCAGCGGGTGGGTGTTTCAAAAGGCTTGTTGGGAGCCTTTGGCGTGCTTTGGATGCAGCCTCGTAATACCTCCAGCAAGTGGGTCCTGCCTATTTGGCAGCAGGGAGTGAGCCTCTCTTCCAATTTTTCCTCCACCGGCTCTATTTGGAGGATACCGTAAAGGTCTTTCCCACTGCAGCAAACCTTAACCAGCTTGCCGGGTATGGACACCCAACAGGGTCCATTGCAGTTGACGTGATGTCAGAGGACAAGGAGAAAGTGATTGGTTTCCTGCCTGTGCAACTGGTTGGATATGAGGTCTAAATTGAGCTGGGCTTTTCCAGAAGTGAGTGTTTTATCCTTCCTCACAGAAGTAGGTGCTCTTGGAGATGAGAGTCCTGGAGAACAGGCTTTAGCGACAGTACGGTCCTTGGACCTGTGACTGATTTTCACTGTGTGGTGTGTAAATGCCGCTCTGCTGACTCCTAGAAGACAAGTCCCTCAAATGTTGTTGCTACTGGAAGTGGAAAAGTCTCTTTCCTTTTGCCTTCAAAGGAGGGAGGGAGGGAAATGAAACTCTGGATGTGCCCAGTTCCTGTCTAGGCAGTTGGCCTTTCTCTCTCGTCTGCCTCCGTCTTCCTGGGAGCAAAGCACGAGTCTTCTGGGCAAGGAGTTGTGCTCTTGGCTCCTGCAGTCTTTGATAATGAGGGATGTCATCAACTTCATGTGATGAAATCGTGGGGCTTGGCTAGAAAGATTTCTGTGCCTTTGGCAGATGAGCACCTACCAGCCCAGCCCTGTTCCTCTGAAGAGAACACGCCCATCCAAACAAAGGCTGCTGAGGAAAGACCTGGTTGTGGGAGAGGTGCCAAAGAGAAGCAAATCTTTACACGGGGCTTGTTCTTCAGCTTAGCAGCATCCAAGGGGCCCTTCTGAAAGGAAAGGGCCATGCCAGGAATTTCCTTATAGTGAGTCATGTGGCGGATCTAGCCAGTTCAGCCTGGCCTTGGCGGCTAACAGTAGTGGCTGCTCTTGGGGTTTGGGGTAGTGCAGTCTTTCCCACCCATACCTAGAAACAGGGTTGGGCGCTTGTGCATTCTGTGCCCTGCTGCTACTGAATGATGACAACCGTTCATTCTCCTAGAGACTTAAGCAGCTTCCTTGCACCAGGACACGCCAGCTCCAACCTCTGCTGACCCTGCAGTGCTGAAAACTGATCCTTGGGCCCACTGCAGGCCTTTCCAGCTGTCTGGTGAGTCCACAGGCAGGCAGGACAGGGCAGAGCCAGAACTGGGATGAGTCCTCTGTCCTTAAGTTAACTTCCCCACGAGGGATTCCATGGAAACCCTGGATGGTCTGAATTCCTTTCTCCTTTCTCCTTGTTTCATTCAGATGTGGATTCTGGGTCAGTTCGTCTTCTTCTTCCCCATTTCTGTGATGATTTCTGGAGCAGTTGAGGTGACCTGGTAACTTCACTTTAACCTCTGATCTTGCTTGTAGACTAGCTTCTACCTGCCTTATCTGTAAACCCTCCGTTCTCAATATTTGCTTGGTCCCATTGGCACTCTGATCTTGCCCTCTTTCATGTTTCCGTCTTCTCATTGAACCCTTTAGTATATTTTTGATCCAGCCTCTGGCTGAGGCTTGAGAAAAGACACTGAAATAATCTGCTAAGAGTACAAGAAAGCAGCTGTGTACAGATAAGCTTCAATCATGTGGATGATGATACAGTACGACAGAGAAACTGCTCTATTCTCTCTCTCCTCTACCTTAAACAGTTTAAACTTAAAGGCTGAAAGCATTTGCTACTTAATTCTACCGTTCAAAACAGAATAAACGCTGAAGTGGGAGGCATCGCTACAACTAACTGTGGAGGATGAGAATTTGGTAGGGCTTCTTTGGAATCTCAAGAATTGCAGCCATTTCTGTGCTAACTCCTCCACCTTATAGAATAGAAATGTCTACAAGCAGTGAGAACTTTCATACATGTTTTGTAAAATAGCGGTACTGTACAGAGTTAAGAATTACTGTTTAAAATTCCTAGCAGCAATCAATGAAGGTTGTATAAGTATCTGGATTTTTAAAAAAACATCTATTAATGCTGAGGCAGATGTGTAAATAATTTCAAGCTTAGTGCTTATTTTGTGGAAGAGGAATGTCTGGTACAGATGGCCACTTAAGATGAATGGCACATTTTTGTGTACCATATGCCAGAGGCAAATGGGAAGAAGTCTGTGGATCCAGCTGGGTAATAGCTCCTATCTTGGAATCCCTCTTGTCCTGCGAAGTCCCTGGGCCCAGCTAGCTTTCTCCCACTGCCACTTGAATGAAGGGGGTCCAGTCTCTGTGCTTTCATAGAAGAACCTTTGTTATTAGGGGTCCTGAGAGCCCAGCCCCTCATGGCATCCAGGCTTCTACCCCTCAGCATGCAATCCAGTGCATCCAGGAAGCACCTCGAGCAGGAAAGGGGGGCAACAGCACCTTCTGCTCCCATTCCCCAGCAAATCTGATGAGGGACCAGGCCTTCTGTTTCCAGGAGAGGAGCTGCCTCATTTGCTCCATCCTTTTCTTTACGGAGGCAAGAAAACAAGGCTTTTGTCTATGAGGGTGCCCTCATCATAAAACTCCCTCTCTGATGGAACACAGGGATTTTACTTAGTCTTAGATTGATTGGGCTTTCCAGAAAGCATTTCCTATTTTCCAGGCTGAATGGATGCCTGGAATGGAATGGAAGCAGGAGCAGAATAGAATTCTTTCTTGGCCAAGTGTGATTGGACACACAAGGAATTTGTCTCTGGTGCCTAAGCTCTCAGTGTACATACAAACAGCAAGCGATAAATCATGATCATAATCATAAAATGCAATCATAAAGAAAGAAAGAAAGAAAGAAAGAAAGAAAGAAAGAAAGAAAGAAAGAAAGA